TATATATATATATATATATATATATATATGAATGCCTGTCATCTGGATTGGATTCGACAGTCAACATATATGCATCCATGCATCCCCTACAATGTTTAGCCGAGGGCTCTTCTAATTACCAAGTTACTGCCTTTTCCCGACGAAACCGAATTCCTCTACATCTCAGTCTAGTAGTGCTTTTGGCACTGCGAGCCTGATTTGCATTTTGTTAATAGGCGACATTTCTTCGGATCCTATCCCTGGATGACCGCATTTCTGACGACCCTGCGACTTTCACCAAGAACCGCACGAGTATCCCTAATGACGGAATGCACCATTTCGTCTGAACCCAGCAAGCTATCATTCCAGAAGTAGTCCAACCATGCTTGTTTTCGTGCTCTTAGAAGGGCTATATGTATAAATGCTGGAATCCACAACCCTCTCTATCTCGTAAGAACTACGTTGTCGGTCGCAATTCCTGCACTGACTGATAAGACCAAGGGCAGTTCATCAGTTCGGTTGTCGCCCAACTGTCAAGTGCACTAGCCAGAAGTCGATACTTCCTTGCAAAAACAGTCCTCCCTAATTTACGTTTCCCTATTTCTGACTTCGATGGACTCCCAAGAGAAGGTAGAAGTAGTTGCTCCACCCTTCACCTCAAACTTCAACAACCACCTTACTTTCCGTCTAAATCTATCTTACAGCTCCACGTCATTTCCCGTTACCCATTAACAGGGTTGTCAGCCAGTGTCTGCTCTAGCTAAACATCTCTAAACCTCCTGATCCGGATAGCACTTGTCTGTTATGTTCACTCGGTCGGAATTCGCTCCAGTCATATCTCGTCTGTTCCGGCGCAGAGTTATTTGCTTGAGGAAGACCCGACGTACTCCCTCCTGCCAAGCGTAGCAAGTTATCCAATCCGGACGACTACCATCTCATCTTCATCATTTTTATTCGTCCAAATTTCTGGAGTCAATCTTGGCCAAAACCCTCTGGCCATATGTAGAATAACAGCCCTCTAAACGATCATCTATGCGGATTCAGGTTATTCACTCTTATGGTGAACCACTGGCGTGTGTACCACATGTATCATCCTCTGCTCTATACAACGTTGGTGAAATCGAACCAGTATATCTTGGAGTCTTCAAGGCTTTTTCTGTGGCTCACGACTCCTACGTTATCCACTTATTTAATGTTTCACTCACTGGGACGTATAAAAATGTGCAACAGCACGAGACAGCCCTTTGCAGAGACAAAAGAAAATTGTTGAGAATGTATTTATGCAGCGAGCACGGGTCAGCCAAGCATGCCTGACTTTTGAACCGAAGGCTAAGGGGAGGGTGTCCGAACAAAACCCTACATTCTTCCACTGCTTTATGGGTCAAACTTGAGTTAAAGGCTCGAGGACGGATAGCTCAACCAAATTCCTTTCTTTGGCTTGGGCAACCAGAAAGTATCCTTCGCCCTGACGGCCCTTTATTCCCACCACGTTCCTCACCCAAGTATCCAACATTCTGCTCAGCAAACGAGCCAAGGGAAATCAAACAATGATTTCGCAACGAAGTATGGAAGCCATTACCAGAAAACTCCGCTGCGCTGGGCATTGCCGTCTTCTTGGATGGAGACTCCGAGACGGGACACATCAGTGGTTAGAGATATTGCCAGATACGGCCCAATCGAGCCCTCAGTGGCGCTCGTGCATACGAGTTGTTGCCTTCATTGGATGAATCCCCTTCCGGTCGCTCAACGAAGTCCATTGACACTGTACTTACGCATCAATTATATCAGCTGCCGCCTCCTATACATACCTGTCTACTCCACATCCCCAAATTGTCGGCGAACGAAAGCGTGGCAGCTATAGCCATCCTACAGCAATTACACGGTTTTTACGCCTGATGATCACGATGATGGTTCAACTGGACCATGTGGCAATCAGCCACCGGTAGAGAGCTTCGATGCAAGGTTGTGGTTCATTTTTGGAATACACCACTGGACTCCAATCATTGCACTATGCGGCACGCGTATATACTCGCTTCTCCTCTGTAACATGTCGGCGGATGCAAAGCCATTCAACTGAAAAGCGTCTGTGAAGCTTAACATTAAATTGAGTTGATTGAGCTCCCAGAACGCGACGGGCACAAGGTTGATCTGCACGAAGACTGGAGAGAAGTGAAAAAATCCGTGCTTACAGCATTTGAGACGATCCATCCCAGATCGCCCACAAGCTTCAATGAAACCTTCATCTTGTCACGATTACCAGCTCTGACAGAAGCCTATACGATCCACAAAGTGAAAACGCCAGCAGACCTATTTATGCCGAGTAATGAATAACCTTGGGATTGATGGAGAGCGCCGATAGACCTTTAAAAGCCTGTGAAACGGATAAAGCTCGTGCATTTTCTCCCTCTTCTAGCTAGTTCAATCGAGTGATTCAAACGGGGAAAGATGATAGTGACTGGGACTTAATGTAATAGAATAAACTTCGACTTCAGCGATGAGCTGGACACACTGAAGACCAAATCCCAATCAACTCGAACTCCGGAGGGACCAAATAAACCCGAGTGGAGCGTCCACATCAGTCCGTCATCCACAAGAGAAATCCAGCAAGTGATTTCATTCGTTTGGCGCAATAAACCACCTGGTCTAGGTTGATTGAATTTCGCGTTCTTTTAAGAAGGCGTCCAGTCCCTTGTGAGTGTCCTGACCTTACTTGAAACAATCCGGAATGCAGAAAGAATATCGACAGAATGAAGCGCCTAGGTGGTGACTCTACACTCAAAAAGTGGAAAAATGTCGTGCGAAGATCACCGGGGAGTCAGTCTAGTGGTCATAGCTTCCAAAATGTTTCATTGTATCATCCTATTCAGGTTTATCCATTAGGCAGTCTGGGTTCCTTCATAGCCGGGATGGCATCGACTATATCTTCACTTTGCCATAAGTGCTGGAGCTGTGCCATTCCTTCAGACGACCAACTACGGTGCTATTTCTCAACCTCAAATATGCTCTTGACTCCTGAGTCACACAGCCAACCGCCCTCTTGCATCAAAGCTACCACCTTTACTACCCGCAGTGCAGGAAAGAATATTTCTACCTCAATCTACCAATTATGACATTGCCTCTAACGTGTGGTTCTCATTCCCTTATTCTCCCTATCCTCGGTGAACAATGTAGCAGCTACAACGACTCGCGAGCTGAAAAACTAAATTTGACCGAATATCAATTCACCATATTCTCAGGGACTGACAGTTCTGTTCACCGCCCATTTCAAGTAGTTGAAATATGTATGCATAACTGGACTACCATAGCCGAAGACAACGCGAAATTACCCTTCAAACCCTGAGGCCTAGTTTATCTGGCATCCCTTGACGTTTGTACACTGAAACAAACAAAAACATGTTTGTACCTAGGTTTATCAGCTGTAAACCCGATACCAAAAGTGCGTTGTTTCCAGCTATTGGAGGCGATGACTTAATTAATTAGTTGGTGTTGAATCAGTCCATTTGTCTGAAGAAACGGGAAACTGGATAGCTTCGAATTAAAAAGCGATGGTTGTAATGAAGGGTTGCCACTGACTGAGTGGCTAAGTCGTGTTTAAAAACTTCACTGACCATTGATTACTTGAGTTTCGGAATTCCCATCCGGGTATGTAACTGTCAAACAGGCTGACTGCTTTCATACTACACTACCCGATCAAAGAATGACATCTTCATCTTTTATAACCAGCACAGGGTCGAGCAAAATGAGCTCAGGCGAGCACAAACCATCTTCTGGTAAGCGGAAAATATATCATAACCAGCGTGACGCAGGGAGCGTGAGTGGCTCATCAGTGGCGATAAGTGTTTCTTCCCAAAACCATCTGTGACGCCACAGTATTGCTAATAAGACGTCCTCACTAGACCCACCTAATGCTTTGGGGACACCAACGACTCAATGAAGGGGATTTCTACACATTCTGTGAGCCCGCATGCCTCGGTTCTGGTCCATGGAACAGGACAGACTGGACTGTCGCAGTAGTGACGCCTGGGCCATATATGTTAGCGGTTCGCAAAAGTTT